TCCCTCTCCCTCTCTCTCTCTCTCTCTCTCTCTCTCTCTCTCTCTCTTCCCCTCCCTCCCTCTCTCCCTTTCTTCCTTCCTTTCTTTCCATTTTTCAGACAGGGTTTCTCCCTGTAGTTTCGGTGCCTGTCCTGGATCTTACTCTGTAGCCCAGGCTGGCCTCGAACTCACAGAGATCCATCTGGCTCTGCCTCCCAAGTGCTGGGATTAAAGGTATGCACCACCACCGCCTGGCTCAGCCTGCTTTCTTTATTTTTTTAGCTTAGATGACTAGCTACATGTATCTTGTGGTTTATTCGTCAGGGTTCTTGAGAGTAACAGAAATAATAGGATATGTATGTAATATATATTATATAAGGAGTATGCTGGCTAATTTTACATCAACTTGATGAAAGCTAGAGGTATCGGAAAGGAAGGAACCTCAATTGAGAAAATTCCTCCATAAGATCTGGCCACTAGGCATTTTTCTTTTTTCTTTCTTTCTTTTTTTAATGCGGAATGCTGTTTATTGAAGGAGGGAGGAGGTCTTGAATACAGGCTTAAAGCACAATGGAAGAACCCTGGAGGGTTCGCTACAATTGTTTTACAATCTTGCATCTAAGGTGTTAAAGCCCATTATGCAGGGTACATAGACAAGGAACTTCCCTTAAGTGTTCAGAGGGGTGAAACCCAGCAGGGGATTAGCATAGGGAGAATATCAAGGTCAAGGTCAGCAAGCAAGGCAACAGTTATCCAGAACAGGGGCCAGGACCCTACAGGTCCCCCTTTTACTATAAATGAGCTTCTGACTTAGGTTGCATGGGATGTCAGCAGGTCACCTTACCCGTCATGGAGACGCCTGCCCAGGCCACACAGGCACTCTGTCTTAGGTTGGTGAGCGCCCCCCACAGCCTGCTTTCTTAAAAGCACCCAGGACCACGGCTCAGGGGTGGCACTGCCCACAGAGCTGGGCCTTCCCACATCAGTCATCAATCATCAGTCAAGGAAACGCAGCCCAGGCTAGCCCACTGGCCCATATGGTGGGGGCATTCTCACAACTGAAGTTCTCTCTCCCCAAAATGACTCCAGCTTGTATCAGATTGACATAAAACAAGCCAGCACATGTGTTAAACTACAAGCAGAGAACAAAACAGCTAGAATTCTGGGAAGGGCTTCTCTGAGGAGTAGAACTGTTGCATTAAAAAGTAGAGGAGCTTGATTTTAGAAGTTTTTAATATGGCCGTGTTCATTGACAAGGTAGAATTTTTAATGGCTTATAACATGAAATGACATCATTATACATAAGGTAAAAATGTGTATTTCTAATATATATTTTATCTAAAAGCAAATGAGATCTGTATTTTTTTTAGAAGAAAGTTATAATTTTTTGCTATTTTCCTGAACTTTATTGCAGCTAGTGGTCAGAAGTTGTATGTAAGGCTCTTTCAGCGTAAATTAACCTGGATCAAGATGGGTAAACTGGAGTACGAAGAGATTGCCTCAGACTTAACCCCCGTGGTTGAAGAATTAAAAGATGCGGGCTTCCTTCAGACAGGTATGGTTGGAGGGAGGAACTGAGAGGAAAATGGAATTTAAGAATTGCTTTCTGTGGGATTTCTATGAGAAAGCTAGTGTGGTGCCATCTCCCGAGTAGTGTCTGCTAAATAATGATTACTTTAAGAAAAAACCTTGAAGCTGTTAGTTTAGGGCAACAGGTTATCATGTGACTTAAGACTGTCGGGTTCTTGGGCACAGGCCACCAGGGTGTGAAGGATGGACTGCCATTGCTTTCCTGGTGCATGCGTAGTCTCCCGGTCTGAGACGGGGTGAGCCATAGAAGGGGAAATTTCTCTTGAGCTCTTGTCTTCCAGCGAGAACCTGATTCATCCTGCTCAAATTCCTCATCTCTGGCAAAATAGAGCCAGCTGGGATGAAATAAGTGTTCCTCTAAAAACATCTATCCCCACCATGCCCACACATACCACCTCTGTCTGTTGATCGCCTGTAAAATTTAATTAGAGCTGTGTGAACGTTAGAGAATCCATCTTCTCTTGTGGATACCCTGGTTTGTCCTGTAAGTCCTGGATGGAAAGGGGCATAGGGAGAATGAGGATGTGCAGCCAAGTTCAGTGGACACTTTTGACAAAATAATCAATCACAGTAGATAGCTTTAGGGAGAAGAGTTTGTAGAGGGAACAGTAGTTAAAGATGGAGCTAAGGTGTGGCTGGATGGGCTATAGGTGGAGCATGCTGGGTGAAGGGGTGGAGCTTGCCGGGTGGAGGGGTGGAGCATGCCGGGTGAAGGGGTGGAGCATGCCGGGTGAAGGGGTGGAGCTTGCCAGGTGGAGGGGTGGAGCATGCCGGGTGAAGGGGTGGAGCATGCCGGGTGAAGGGGTGGAGCTTGCCGGGTGGAGGGGTGGAGGTACAAAGCAGCATTCTGGCTTGAGTAGTCAGCACTGCTTTCCAGTCCCTGGTGGAAGCTGATCCTCGCTTCCTCCTGACTTGGAAGATCTGATGAAAATTGTATAGATTGACCTGTTTGACAGAGGGGGCTTACCTTTAAACCTTACCCAAACCAGAGCCCCGATGGCTCACCTTGGACACTTCATGGCTGCTTCTCTGCGTCTTGCAGCCACACTGCAGTCCTCAGTGGTCTTTGTCATGGTGAATGCATTCTCCTTTCAGAAGCTTGCTTGGACTTAATGGCTCTTCTGCCTGGGCCAGTGCCCACCGTCCTACTGTACAAACCTGTCCCTCGTCACATTTGACTCTGCACGGTGCCCTCATGAGAGATCTGCCTGACTGTCCTGTGTAAACCAGCCACCCTCCCCACCAGGCTTTGTTGGCCTCACATAAATTTGTTTTTCATTTTTTTAAAAAAAGGGTTTATTTTATTTCCTGCGTGTGGGCGTGTGCTTGAGAGTACAGGTGCCCAAGCCAGAGGCATCGGGTCACCTGTAGCTGGAATTAGATGGGAACCAAATGCAGGTCTTCTGGGAGATCAGCAAGTGCTCTTCACTGCTGAGCCGTCTGTCCAGCACCTAGCTCTGTTTTCTTCATACCACCCTTTCCTGCCTGGCATGAGTAATTATTGTGGTAGGAAATGAGCTCCCTTTGGTCCTTGCTCAGTGCAGTGTCTCTAGGACCTGAGAACTGTACACCCCATCAGTACTAACGAACGGAGGAAGAAGACACTGCCTGAAACTGAAGGTCTTAAAGACATATGGCTGGGTTCGATTCAGCCCGGTGCATTCGGCCTGGTGTGGGATCTGGGGTACACCAGAGCAGGATGCTGGAAGGCTGAGCCCATGAAAGGCTTTCCACTCTGAGTCATGGGATAGAGGACTGTGTGGAGGAGAACTGGTGGTCACTTCACTCTGTGATCTGGTTTGGAGAGGACCCCTCACATGGCTACAGATGAGAAAGATGGAGGATGTATCCCAGTAATGTTTGTTCATAGTTTGCTGTCTATAGCGGGTTTTTTGATATTTGTTTAAGACAGGGTTTCTCTGTGTAGCCCTGGTTATCCTGGAACTCAACAACCACCTGGTTGTTGTCTGTAGTCTTCAATGGAAAGAGTTTGGCGAACTCTTGGGAAACTCCTGCTTGCATTTATTTATTTATTTATTTATTTATTTATTTATTTATTTATTTACTTATTTGGAAAACTTATTACAGTTTCTCTAGGGAAATTTCATTTTATTTTCGTCTAGCCGATTCTCTTCCTTCCCCAAGGAACTGATGTTAGGTGATAGTCAATTCCACAACACCACGGTTAACTTTGGGTTGTTGTTAACTGTTTCAGAATCTGAGTTGGAGGAACTCTCTGATGTACTTGAACTCCTTTCTGCTCCTGAACTGAAAGCCCTGGCCAAAACCTTCCACGTGGTGAGCCCCGCTGGGCAGAAGCAGCAGCTGGTAGATGCCTTTCTCAAGCTGGCCAGACAGCGCTCAGTCTGCACTTGGGGCAAGACTCAGTCCGGAATCAGAGCAGTGATTCTGAAAAGGTCTGTGGCCATTGTCTCTGAAAACGTTTGCTGTATCGATAAGCATACTAACTGCGTGGTTTAGACTGCGTACTCTTTCAGACTCTGGCTGCTCATGACAGTTGCATTGCGATTGACCCCTGAAAGCCTTTACTATACCGTCCTCAGTGCTTTACTGGTGGTTTATCCAAAATTCTTGTTGTAAGACTGTTCTAATTTCTAGAAGGAAGAAAAATCAGTAGGCGGTAAAGCAAAGGCATAGAGCTCTGCATAGGCCTTTGCTCTCATAGACCTTTGCTTGCATAGGCCTTTGCTCTCATAGACCTTTGCTTGCATAGGCCTTTGCTCTCATAGAGCTTTGCTTATATAGACCTTTGCTTGTATAGACCTTTGCTTGCATAGAGCTTTGCATGCATAGAGCTTTGCTCTCATAGAGCTTTGCTTGCATAGACCTTTGCTCTCATAGAGCTTTGCTTATATAGACCTTTGCTTGCATATAGGCCTTTGCTCTCACAGAGCTTTGCTTATATAGACCTTTGCTTGCATAGGCCTTTGCTCTCACAGAGCTTTGCTTATATAGACCTTTGGTGCTTATTCATAATTTATTATCTAAGAACTGAAAATAGCTGTGACTACTGTTCTTTAGGGCAGCTTTAGGGCAACTGTCAGTCAGTCACTTTTAATTTTTGAAGCTTGTTATTGGAGTATTTTGAGCCAGGCTTAATATGCAACTTTTTTTTTTCTTCTTTAAGTTTTCCCCAGTGCTTTGGATGGTTTCTCTAGTCTTTAGGAAGCACTTGAGCTATTCATTTAGGGAGGATCATAAAAACTTGTGGAGTTCTTTTACTCTGAAATCTATAAAATCAGAGTATATCTAATTTAGCCTGAGATGCAGTATTCTGGAGCATTTGAGGATAAATGAGATGCTTGTTTATTTTGTATGTTACATATGTGTCTGCTTAAACAACTCCATTGTAATAAATTATGTCTGTAGAAGTTGACTACAGAAGTATGAAGTCCTAGGGCTTGGATTGTAGCCCAGTGGTTAAGCACTTGCCTATGTGCAAGGTCCCAGGTTCAAATCCCCAGTATCAGGAAAAAAAAAAGTGTATGTACCTACAAAAGTATGAAATCCTTATCCAGTTGGTATGTTAACTATTTTCAAAATACTATTTTTTGTCTGTTTTTATTTTTAAGCTAGAAGAAACCTTATATGTCATGTTTTGTAAGTAGATGTGCATTAAAATTACCAGCTTTCATTATCAACACTTAGATTCTGACCAGATGTCATAAGAGAAATTAAGTGAACAGTTTGCAACACCAGATTTGGAGTTGCATGAAGATAACATTCTCTGGGCTATCTTACTTGTACTGAAATCCTTGACGATGATCTGCCACAGCTCCACCTGTGGCCAGTGCCTAGCTCTGGGTCTCCATGGATGAAACAAATTTGTGCTTTCTTAATCTAAGAGTCCCTGCATGGTCTTCTGCAGCCCAGAGGCTTGCTTTGCTGCGCTCTGCATGCCCGGGCCAGTAGACACAGGCAGATGGAGCTCCAACCCAGCTTAGGAGTGGGTGCTAGCTTTTGTGGGTGAGCAGTTCCCATCAACTGTTGCTATGCTAGGGCCCCTTCCTGAGCCTCAGGACTCAGAGTGGCACTGATCTCTGCAGTGCCCCTGGAGATTAAGGACTGCTTTTCGTTGAGAAGCTTCTAGATGAGAAGGTGTGAAGTCTTCGCTAGGGCCACTGACTCAACTGGGGATGACTTTGCCCCTCAGGAGCATCAGGCACCATCCATCTAGAGACAGTTTCAGGTTGTCACCACTGTGGGAGGGGCAGTGTTAATGAAGCTGGATGTGCTGAGCATCCTGATAGAGAATGCACAGGAGAACCCCCAGCCCTCAAACAAGGAATTGCCCAGCCTAAATACCAGTGGTAGCGAGGCCCAGGAACGCTGTTGCTGTAGCCTACAAGGGCCACATGGCCCTAGATTTAGTTCAGCCCTCCAAACTCGCCCTGCAGATGCCTCCAGTTGTCCTGGAATGGCAGTGTTTCCAGACAGCTCTGCAAACGGGAATAACATAACACCTTGAGTGTATCTGCACCACTTGTCTCTACTGCTGCCTGCCCAGAGCTTCTGTTACTGATGGTTTAAGTACCTTATCTCATCTGCCTGCCTGCCTGCCTGCCTTCCTCCCTTCCTTCCTTCCTTCCTTCCTTCCTCCCTCCCTCTCTCCCTTCCTTCTGCCATTCCCTCCCTCTTTCCCTCCCTCTTTCTGTCCCTTCCATCCTTCCCTACCCCGCTCAATCGCTCAATCTCTTTTGGGGAGCAATTCATCTTTAATTTTTAAAAAGCTTATTCGGCTCAGCAGGTGAAAGAGCTTGCCTCCAAGAACCTAACTCTGATTCCCAGGACCCACATGGCAGAAGGAGAGAACCGACTTTGACAATTGTTCTCTGACCGCTATACATAGTCGGCATGTATGTGTGTCTGCACACGTATGTGCACACACACACAAATAGAGAAATGCATGTCATCATTTTAAAAAGCAGGCTGATGGTAGAGGCTGCTTGGGCAGCTTGAGGTCTTAGAATCCTCTGACTAGAGCTTGGTGTTAGAGTGACAGAAAGCAGTGAGAATGACCGAGCACAGCAACGCAGGGTGTCTGTGTTGTTGTCTGTGGTGCTGAGACCGGTACCAGGGGTTCCCGGTCTGCAGGTGGCCATTCAGATCAATAACTGAGAATCGCCGGAGCCGGGTCGGGGTGGCGCACGCCTTTGATCCCAGCACTCACTCAGGAGGCAGAAGCAGGTGAATCTCTGTGTGTCCAAGGCCATCCTGGTCTACAGAGTGAGTTCCAGGACAGCCAAGGATATACAGAAAAACTCTTGTCTCAGGAAAGAAAAAAGAAAGAAAGAAAGGAAGGAAGGAAGGAAGGAAGGAAGGAAGGAAGGAAGGAAGGAAG